AGCTTGAATGATGACCTGCAGGAGCTGATCCTGCTCCTGATTGCAGGAGAGCAGCGTACTCGGCGTGTGGGTAGCAGAGTTGGGATTGGTGGAAGAGGACTATAAAGGAGGAGAGAGACAACATGCACCAGGAACATCTAAGGGGAACATCTGAGGGAACATCTATCTGAAGGAACACCTGTGCAGCCCCCGAGAGAGCCGGCCGGTGGTGTGCCGCTCCCCCGCAGAAGTGGGGAAAAGTGGCCAGGGGGAACCGCCCTTCCACGGAGGTGGAAGGGTTGGTAGCCAACCCGGGAAGAACCAGCAGCAAACCTGGGGAGGGCCGAGCAGACAAAAGAACAGCACAGGGTCCTGTGTCGTTCCTCCATGAAGAGGGGGAGCGACATCTCTCTGTGAATCTGATAATTCACATCCTTTTTAAAGGGCAATTAGATGTAGTACTCTTAACAATAAATCCCCTTTCCTTTATGTCCTAGCTATTCTGTTGTAAATACTCTGATCATGACAGACAGAAAACTTGATCATTGAGAGACTATCACAAATTGTAAAGTATTAATCCCTCAGAGATAACATAAAGGTGGCACAAAATATTATATATCTACATCTATATCTATATATCAATACCATACAGATTAGACATCCCACAGAACTTTCTCTACATATGTACTTATTACTCTACTGACCTCAGGTATAGACACAGATGGATTCATAAGAAAAAGTACTCTCCCTTGTCTCGACTGTTGAGGAATATTTTTTTTCATACCATTTGTTGAACTCTTTATTTATTTATTTATTTATTTATTTTATTTTTTGACAGGCAGAGTGGACAGTGAGAGAGAGAGACAGAGAGAAAGGTCTTCCTTTTACCGCTGGTTCACCCTCCAATGGCCGCTGCTGCAGGCGCACTGTGGCCGGCGCACCACACTGATCCGAAGCCAGGAGCCAGGTGCTTCTCCTGGTCTCCCATGCGGGTGCAGGGCCCAAGGACTTGGGCCATCCTCCAGTGCACTCCCGGGTGACAGCAGAGAGCTGGACTGGAAGAGGAGCAACCGGGACAGAATCCGGCGCCCCGACCGGGACTAGAACCCAGTGTGCCGGCGCTGCAGGTGGAGGATTAGCCTATTGAGGCGCGGCACCGTGCCAGCCTTGTTGAACTCTTTACTTAGTGTAGGGTTAATCTTATGTATATAAAGTTAATTGAAAATAGATCTTAGTAACAAATAAGAATGGGAATAGGAGAGGGAGGAGGAAGAAGGGTGGGAGTGCAGGCGGGAGGGAGGGTAGGATGGGAAGAATCACCATGTTCATGAATTTGTATATATGAAATGCATTAAGTTTGTATACCTTAAATAAAAGGTTTCTAAGTAAAAAAAAAAAAATCCTACAGGCCAAAAAAAGAAAACGAAAAAGTACTCTGGTGGCATCTACTCACCAGATAGCAAGGTCATAAGAAAAGTCATTCAAGGATCCTCCCACAATCCTGACTACATGTTTCCTTTTAACAAACTTTATTTCATAATAGTTTTTGAGTTACAGGTATGTAAAGAGTACAGAGTTCTTGCATCTCCCATATTCAGTTTTCCTCTTTATTGACATGTTATTCACATGTCTAGTATACACATTGTATGCTAGTACAATACATTTGTTATAATTAATGGACCAATATTGATACATAATTATTAAGTGAAATCCATACTTCATCTGGATTCCTCAGTTTTTACCTAAGGTCCCTTTTCCACAGTTCCATCCAGGAAGCTACATTATGTTGAACTGTTATGTCTTCCTTTCTGACAGTTCCTCAGACTCCTCGAATTTTTTTTTTTAATAGCATGACGGTTTTAAAGAACACTGGTACACATATTTTGCACAACATCCCTCAGTTGTGATTTGTCTGATGTTTTTCTCATGGTTAAATTGGGCTATAGATTTGGCAGGGAAGGCCACAGAGGTAAGTGCCATTCCCATTATATCATATCAAGGGCACATATTACCAACATGACTTATGATTGCTAATGTTAAACTTGGTCACATGACTGAGATAGTGTTTTTATCCACTGCAACCTTACTTCTTCCTCTTCATACTGAACTGCTTGGAAGAAAGCCACTGTGTACAACCCACACTTAAGGAGTAGGGAGTTATGCTGAATTATGTGGAAATATTCTAAACAAGAGGCTTTTTATGGTACTCTATTTCTTTATTTATTCAATCATGTGTTTCATAAGTAAGCATATTTATTTTATACTTTGGGTTATAAACCAATACTATCTTACTTTTTTTGTTTGTTTATTTTTGTTGATCACGTTATTCCAGCTTTGGCCACTGGGAGCTCTTCAGTTGGGTCTTATGTCCTTGTGACATATCCCCATCACTGTGGGATTTTTGAGAACTTCTTTACTTTCTGGTAGGCACTACAGTATACCCCAGGCTCCATCTTTATATCTCCTGCCCCAGTCCTAGAATCATCCATTTTTCCAAGGAATCTTGGATTTTTTTTTTATTGAAGAATGATATTAGAAATCAGGATCTGAGTGCCTGACATATATGTTTTTAAATACACATTATGGGGCTGGCGCTGTGGTTTAGAAGGTTAAGCCTCTGCCCGCAGTACCAGAATCCTATATGGGCGTCAGTTTGAGTCATGGCTGCTCTGCTTCCAATCCAGCTCCCCACTAATGCACCTGGGAAAGCAGCAGCAGAAGGCCCAAGTGCTTGAGCCACTGCATCCAGGTGGGAGACCTGTAAGAAGTTCCTGGCTCTTGGCTTCAGTCTGGCCCAGAGCCAGCCATTGTGGCCATTTGGGGAGTAAACCAGCAGATGGAAGACCTCTCTCTCTCACTCTTTCTCTCTCTGTATCTGTACTTTTCAAATAAATAAAAATCTTAAACATATACATATTACTAGCTGTAGACATGAACAACTTACAAAAATGATACATTTTGTGAGCATTAGAACTGGTGAATGGAAAGTAACAGAAAACTTCCATTTCCACTTTTTACCAGTCAATGAACATGTTTGAGTAACTTTTCACTATGGGTATTTATTATAATTCAAAAAGAAAAGCTATGACAGCTTATTTTAATGTGATAGAGTCAATGTGCTTGAGAAGGTGGCAAATACTAAAATAACTCCTTAATTTTATACTGCTTTGAAGTTTCTATTTTTCAGCGAGTTCTGTTTTAATCTTTCAAAACAGTATGTGTATTTTCAGTGCCTCAATAGATGAAAAGCCTCTTTCTAACAATCAACATGTATGATACCGACATGACAAAGCCATGAGTCTAGAAATCTAGCTTCAATGAGCCATATGCACAGGGAGTAATAGATTTAAGAGACTGTCTCTGATAAGTCAGGTCACGCCCCAAAACATCCTCTCCCTTGTTTTCCCTCTGAGGTCACAGGAAGAAGACACATGATGCAGGCAGGAAGCATTTGGACATCAGTAGCAATCAAATACAGAGATGTCAAACCCCACTTAGGCCAGGTCTCCTCCTAGAAACCAATGTCATCAGTCTAAATTCTGGGGAACCATGGATGAACCAAGCAAGATAAGCATCTGTTCTATTCAAACTATATCAGTGCTTTTGAAGATTCTCCCCTATATTTCTGAGATCTCAACACACTGTGGTCCGATAATGAAAGAAGGCAGCTGGAGTTCTGGAGGAGGAAAAGTATTCTCCTCCAAACCAGACTGGTTATGTAAGGAAATACTTGGAATCCCATGCATACCTATGATTAAGCTAACAACATTTGCCTTCATTTCCAATCACGCACCTGCATCCTTAAGCCAACTAACACAAGCTGGAAGTTCATTTACGCACATGAATGTATAAACTTAAAGCCTCAAGTTTCTGCCCAAATTTTGTCATGTCATATTGTATTCCCAAATAATATTTTACTTTAATCTAGTCATAGTTGGGAGATTATACAGCAATGTATGTGACCAGAGCAGAAGTTATGAGTCAGAAGCTAGAATGGTGGAAAGGTTCAAGGATAGGAAAAAAATTCAGATAAACATGAGTTTAGGAGTTTTTCTTGTATCCAAGAGTACTGAATGAGAGACAAAGGCCTAATTTATAATCGTGACTTTGCTATTCTCTAGCTCCATTAGCATATACAAGTTATTTCCCACTTTGGAGTCTCCATTTTCATCAACTGTGTATCGAATGGCTGAATTTTGTTGGAAAATGCTACCATGATTCCCTAATCAAATGCACTTATTCCTGGGCATGACAAAGAAGGGGTAGCCTTAAAAACGGATCTAAATCAACAGAGTCAAGGACATGACCATAGTCGAGACAACTGGATGGTATTTTTTACATTCTCTTTGACAGCCGCTGGGAGCTGGCACCTTCTCAGGCGAGATACAACTGTTATGTCTCTGGTGCCGAAGGCTGTATAGGAGTCTCCACCCCTTCATCTCCTGTCTCTTACCCAGATAAGCATACTCACGGAAGAGTTACAAAAGGCCAGGCACATCTGTGTATGACAGGTGGTTACACTGGTAAGTGTGCTGCCCTCCCAAACCATGAGAAAAGCTGGAGGCAAAGCAGTGAGACCCAGGGTACAAAGTTACTGCTGTGGAAGCTTCCTGGTAGAACAGGAGGATTCTAATTCAGGATTCTGAAACAGATTTATCTAACAAGTGAAGCCCACTCTACTTAGCACTCCAGGGCAGAAAACAAGATTATAGATACTGAAACTCAATTCCTTGTTTTTCCCCTTTTAAATCACTTTCTTTTTAAGATGCATACAGAAAAATAACCAAACCAATCTTTGGCTCTCAAAATGATCTACAGCTATGAGTTTTTGTCAAAGAATTTCTATGTCAAATGATTTAAAAACCAGAGGAAGCCTAAAAAAAAAATCTAAAAAGTGTAAGCTATGAGAACAGCACTTCCTGCCAGAAGGATTTCCTGTTTCAGGCGACCACAACGACGTGGAGAAACATCCGGCCATGGCCACAGCCTAGTTCCCTGTGTCACTTCTCTGTTCTACTCACCCTTCCTCCCCGACAAAGGTAACATACAGCTTATTTCTCTGCAGGTCTTTTCTGGAGTAGCCCATAATCTGATTGAAAGCATCTTCTAATAGATGATCTCTGCGGATTATTAATCTGTTTGTAAAGAGACAATTTGAAAAAACAGATTATTTCCTAATCCTTATCTTTCTAGAATTTGGCACTTGCCATGTAATTACCATTTACTATAATTAGCTAGACAAGCAGAGGAGTTACTTCATATTACTGCTGTCTGCCATACAGTACAGATTTGTTTTTAACTCTTAACAGCATTAGCAAAAGTTACGTAAGAGAATCATTGGTAAATAGGGCACCCCACCTATGGCCTGTAAAAACAACTCAAGGGTCCTTTCTGAACGGTCTAATCATTCATCCCAGAGGGAAAATTATCATAGAACAACACACACACAACTTCGGGTTAGTAAAGAAGGAACAACCCTATGAGGTAATGTTTTCAGCCTGAATACATTTAGACAAGAATTCAATCACGAAGGGCCCAGAGGGAAGACTGAGAAGGAGGAGGAAAAAACTCCTCATTGTCCTCCAAAGCAGAGGAGCTTACACTGTGCTTCATTGAATATTTAAATTGGGTGATTCTTGAGATTCTCTGAGGGACAGACAAAAATGAACGATGCTTGTGGCAAATTAATCTACTTGTTTGAGGATGACAATGCAAATAATTTCTCCACTGATATCAAGTCAGCCTGAAGGTAAACAGACAAAGCAATGAGAGGAAGGCTGAACACAGGAAACCTGGGTCACCCAGATCTTCCCAAGTGAGGTGCGAGAAAAGGAAAGCTCAGGGAAGTATGGGGTTTGGGACAGGTCCATGTGTTTTGAGGGTGCTGAAAGTGAACTGAATGGTGCAAGCCCTCACGTATGGGGCAGTGAGTCACATGCCGCTGTTGCTGGCCTGGCCCCTGTCCCCTCTCTCAGGCAGCCAGGGGCGTGATCTCTACTGAGGATAGGGCAGAGGCGGTGGGGAGGGGGCAGGCTAGCAGCAATGGAACATTCTAGGCCAAACAACATGATGCTGCTTCCATTTCCCCATCTGAAGGGAGGTGGGTAAAGAATGGCAAAAATAACATGCATGGCCCACACGGTTGGACAAATGAAGTTTGCTTCACAGAACCAAGTAGAGGTAAGCACAATTCCTACACTCCAGGCAGCTCAGGGGTCAGTAACATACAAGACAAGACATGGTGATCACTTCATACCTAATAAATATAGTATAAATCAGGAGAAAAAAACATAAACTAGCTTTTTATTTTTCCTATATTTTTTCATGGAAAATAACAGTGCTTTCATGGCTTATTTAAAAACCTTAGGTTTAATCATGCTTAATTCCAGAACTATGTTTTAGAGTATCCTGAAATTTACAAAAGCCAAAATAACTATGCAGACCAAAACAAAAGCTAGTCATCCCAAGTCACAATGAATTTCCTAAATCTCCAACTGCATGTCCCACCTTTCCACCTTTGCTAAATCATGTGGTTTGTGTTGTTATCACTTTGAACTTACTTTAATTTCCCTGGGCCTTGTCCATATCCTTTTGTCTCTAACTTTCTGTAAAAGTTCCTCAGTTTGGCTTCAAAATCTCGTTTGTAAGGGGCTGGAGCACGGGCGTTGGCACGCTGAGTACCTACAGCAAACCACAAAAAGAAGACAGTCTGGATTTGCATTTTGTCTTTATGGTTATCACATCTTCTGCCATTTTCCCTTCTCTAAGTTGAAGGATATAACAAACCCTCACCAGGGTTTTAAGAGGTGTCTTCTTTGAGGAGAATAAAACTCCTGTTTAAATAGTACAGTGATGCCAAGTGTTTTCTCAAATGTGTTTCCCTTTTCAGTCCACAGAGTTAAACAGTTATTCATGTCTAGTGGAAACAGGAATGAAATGAAACTTATTTGCTATTGAAATGATATCACGGAAATTAGAGAGGAAGTTATAATGCAAAAGTATGTAGTATATAAGGCAAGAATATTGGGTTTCTATCACTCAAATTTCTCACCAAAAAAAAAAAATCCACAAAAAGTCCTTTTAGGTAAGTACTACCACCAAGAATGATTTTAGGCACGTAATTATATACATGTTACATTGCAGGCTAAAACAATCTTGTTAAAAAGCAAAATTCAGCTATAATTCCAGAAGGCATATGTCTCATTGTTCCCAAAAGAGTAAATAATACTAGTATTTATTGCATTTTTAGTATGTGCCAAGTACTGTGAATATATAATGGTGAACTAAATATATTTATGAGTTAGTCAACGACAAGGATCATTAACAAAATATAAAAGCAATGAAGTTTTGCTCCTCTTCTCATGGAAAAATTTAGTTTTGTGTCACCAGATGATTAAGCAACAAGCTGGGATGCAAAACTAATGATGAATGTGGGAGTCACACACAGAGCCTTGACAAAAACACTGGACATTTCCACCGAATATTTCTCCACTCAGTAAAAGAATCTAAAAGCAAAAAGTGTGAAGTTTCTTTCACTACACACCATGCAACTTAATTAAAACTTCTTTCAACAAATAAATCAACTAAATGGTTACTACTCATTCCTAATACTCTATTAGGTGGTTCAGCCATGAGGCACCCTAAGTGAGCAAGCTAATGTTGCCAAATTGGATATCCTGGTTGGGGAGGCAGGAAATAAAACATATCAAAGCCAGCGCCGTGGCTCAATAGGCTAATCCTCCACCTTGCGGCGCCGGCACACCGGGTTCTAGTCCCGGTTGGGGCGCCGGATTCTGTCCCGGTTGCCCCTCTTCCAGGCCAGCTCTCTGCTATGGCCAGGGAGTGCAGTGGAGGATGGCCCAAGTGCTTGGGCCCTGCACCCCATGGGAGACCAGGAAAAGCACCTGGCTCCTGGCTCCTGCCAGGATCAGCGCGGTGCGCCGGCTGCAGCGGCGGCCATTGGAGGGTGAACCAACGGCAAAAGGAAGACCTTTCTCTCTCTGTCTCTCTCTCTCACTGTCCACTCTGCCTGTCAAAAAAAAAAAACAAAAAACAAAAAACAAAAAACATATCAAATAATAAGAAAATAATTAAGTCCTAAACTAATGGTATATGATCATAAAGCAGAGTGGAGAAAACTATAGCCCTGGGTGTCGCTCCCCCTCTTCGTGGAGGAGCAACACAGGACCCTGCGCTGTTCTTTCGTCTGCTCGGCCCTCCCCAGGTTTGCTGCTGGTTCTTCCCGGGTTGGCTACTATCCCTTCCACCTCCGTGGAAGGGCAGTTCCCCCTGGCCACATTCCCCACTTCCGCAGGGGAGCGGCACACCGCCGGCCGGCTTTCTCGGGGGCTGCACGGGTTCCCTTAGATGTTCCCCATAGATGTTCCTGGTGCATGCCGTCTCTCTCCTCCTTTATAGTCCTCCTCCGCCAATCCCAACTCGGCTGCCCACACGCCGAGTACGCGGCTCTCCTCCAATCAGGAGCAAGTCCTACAGTTAATTGGTTGAACTGGAGGCAGCTGTGCGGAAGCTGTTTACTTCTCTCCCAGCGCCATATTGTGGGAGAGCAGATGCATAGAATAAGTCCTAATTCGAGTAACTTAGTCTAGTCCGGATTGCTCCCCACAGATCCCCCTTTCTTTTTATTTTTGGCGTTGATACGCGCCTGTCTTCGGTGTCCCGCGGCACACACTCTGCTCTACTTGCTAGAGTTGCCACAGGCTCTTACAAGTCCTATCAATCAGGCAAACCGAATCCGGGTCCTCTCTTCGCCATGTTGTGAGGAGGTTTTTAGGCGCTGATGCGTGCCTGTGTTCGGTGCCCTGCAGCGCATACTCTGCTCTGCTAGAACTGCCTGCAGGTGTTTACAAAACCTATCAGGCAAACCGAATCCAAGCCTTCTCATTGCCTTTTGTGGGGGAGACTTATTAGTGTTGGTTTGTGCCTATCTTCGGTGACCTGCAGCTCACACTCTGGTCGAGCTGCTCGCTGGCGCTTACCGCCTTAAATCAGGCAGACCGAATCCAAGCTTAATATTGTTGTATTGTGGGGAAGCCTTACTGATGTTAATTCGTGCCTGTCTTCGGTGACCTGTGGCGCATAAGCTGCTAGCTGCCCGCAGGTGCTCATCGCCTCACTTGATTAGGCAGACCGAATCCAAGCCTTCTAATTGGCATGTTGAGGGGAGGCCTTATTTTTCTCTATTTCTCTATCTCCGGGCATTCCTACCTCTCCCATTTCACTTCTATCTTCCAGCATTCCCATTTCTCTTTTACTTCACTTCCAAACTTCTGTTTTCTCTTATCCCCGCGGCTTCCCGGCGCCTCGCCCTGCCGGCAGCTTCACGGCTCCGCGCAGCTTCCCGGCGCCTCGCCCCGCCAGCGGGCTCCGCCCCGAGGCTGCTTCTCCGCGCCTCGCCGGCTCTGAGCCGCTTCAGCCCGCGCCTCATCTGCGCGGCTTCCCGGCTTTGCGCGGCTTGGCTCCGCGCTCCGCGGTCTCCACGCCCTTCGCGTCCGCACCACGGCCTACGCCAGCGTTCCCTATCTATTCACGCCCCGTGCTCTCTCTGCACGCGGCGGCTTCCGCGAGTAACACAGCGTAGCTTGCGTCTCCGCCACTAGGATTCAATCTAAGTTCCCCGGGCTAGCCTGGCGAATTCAACCCAGCGTACGTCTCCGCCCCACGGTTTGGCTTCCCGTCCTTTGCTCCCCGGGCTAATCAGACGGATCCCAATCTGGCTCACGTTTCAGCTTCTGGTTTCAACTTTTCGCCCCCTATTCCCGGGCTAACTTGAGAATCCCAAAGTGGCTTTCGTGTCCGCCTCGGCCTGCCCCCCGCGGCTTCAATTTCCCTAACACTTTTCTCTACCCGGTATGTTTCCCCAAGCTTTCCTCCAACAATATTCCTCCCTCATTTCTCCTGGCCTCTCCCCACAGTCTGCGTCCGAGTCTGTTTGTTCTAGCTTTCACTTTCGCTTTTGACCTTAGAGATTTCTCCCAGCTTCCCCCCGTAGTCCGTATCTGAGTCTATGCCTAGGCTTTCAATAGCTTCTTCCGGCACCCTTTTCGTCCGGCTTTTCCCTAGGCTGTTTGCTAGTCTCTCTCTCCGGTATTTTCCCAGTTCTTCCCGTTTCTTCCCTCCTAAGTTTCATATCCGTCCTAAGTTTCCTATCCGAGTCACGGCACCATTATGTCGCTCCCCCTCTTCGTGGAGGAGCAACACAGGACCCTGCGCTGTTCTTTCGTCTGCTCGGCCCTCCCCGGGTTTGCTGCTGGTTCTTCCCGGGTTGGCTACTATCCCTTCCACCTCCGTGGAAGGGCAGTTCCCCCTGGCCACATTCCCCACTTCCGCAGGGGAGCGGCACACCGCCGGCCGGCTTTCTCGGGGGCTGCACGGGTTCCCTTAGATGTTCCCCATAGATGTTCCTGGTGCATGCCGTCTCTCTCCTCCTTTATAGTCCTCCTCCGCCAATCCCAACTCGGCTGCCCACACGCCGAGTACGCGGCTCTCCTCCAATCAGGAGCAAGTCCTACAGTTAATTGGTTGAACTGGAGGCAGCTGTGCGGAAGCTGTTTACTTCTCTCCCAGCGCCATATTGTGGGAGAGCAGATGCATAGAATAAGTCCTAATTCGAGTAACTTAGTCTAGTCCGGATTGCTCCCCACACCTGGGGCTATGTTCAGGCCTATAGATCTGTTTTCTTTGTCTTATAATCTTTTCAAAAGATTGATAATCAACTGCCAACATTAAAATGTTCATTTATTTAAGAGGGAGGGAGGGAAAGAAAGAGAGAAAGAGAGAAAAAATGAGAACGAGAATGAATGAATATTTCCCATCTACTGGTCACTCCCCATATGCCTTCGATGGCCAGGGACAGGAACTGGAATACAATCCAGGTCTCCCACACGGATGGCAGGAACCCAAGTACTTGAGCAATCACCTGCTGCCTCCCAGGGTCTGCACTGACAGGAAGCTGGAGTTAGAAGCCAAAACCACGAATCAAACACCGACACTCTGATGTGAAACACAGGCATCTTGACTACAAAGCTGAATGCACAAGCCCTGCCAACATTTGAAAATTAGGATAGTTCAAGTGAAAAAAAAAAGTCCAGAATTTTCTCTTGAAAACTATTTGGGAAATCTGGCAACAGCTGGTTTGCCTTTCCTGGGGAACATGGTGGAAGCTGCTCCATTAGACAAGCACAAGCTCTCTACGCTGCTAGTCCTCCAACGACACCAGCTGCCTGGTGACCCTCCCCCTGCCAGGTCTCTGCATTTGAGGTCTGCATTATGGGAAAGTAATATTAATTATACAGAAAACGTATAAGTAGAGGTCAAAAAGGAGGGGTGGGTATTTGGTTCAGTGGTTAAACCTCTACTTGGTATATCTACATCCACATTCCATATCTGGGTACCTGGGTTGAGTCTCAACTCTGTTTCCAATTTCCAGCATTCTGTTAATGTACACCCTGCAAGGTAGCAAGTGAGATCTCAAGTATCTGGGTCCCTACCACCCTCATGGGAGATCCAGGTGGACTTCTCCAGTCCCAGCTGTTGTAGACATTTGGGGAGTGAACCAGCAGATGGAAGATAGCTCTCTCTTTCCTTCTTTCAAATAAAAATAAAAATAATTTTTAAAAGAGGAAAATACCTTAGGGAGGAGACTTAATGGAAATCAAAAT